GAAAAAAAACGGCTCTCCTTTTTTTCAGAGGGTCCTTAAGTAGCTTCTAAGGATGTACTTAGACCCCCTTTTGACCCCCCAAAAGCCATCCTCAGAAGGTACTTGGACCCTCTGGGTTTGTAGCTTCCCTTGAACACTCACCCCAAACAGGGTACCTTTCGCCTCAAACAAATCGACACCACCCACATCCCCACATGTCTCGATGGCTTTCCCCGCCTGAGCACTGGCTCCGCAGCCCATCAGCGGCGCGACAGCTACGCTCCCTAGGCCTTTTTTCGCGCCCTGGAGGGAGCTGCCTTTTTGGGCAAAATCTGTTTGGTTCCTTTTCAGGATGTTCTGTTTTTAGCCACCGAGCTTGCTCATGCCTGTTCTCCACTTAAGGCCGAATTTCCGGACATGCGGATTTGGCCATCTCCGATGCTCGCTCATGCTTGTTGACACCTTGCTGCGCAATGCCTGCGGACGAGCGCCAACAATGGGGCCAGCAAAGGTGTCACGCAGCGCCAGTGCCACAAAATGAGTGGTGACTCAATATTATGGGTGTGTCTTCTTTTGAAGGTGCCCCTCTTTTGGTGGTCTTAAACGGAAACCAAAAGGAAAACCATCGTTCTGGGCGTCCAAAAAAAACTAGACCACGGTTGGCCCGAAAGCAGAACATCGCAAGCGAGGTTGTCCGCACAGTCCGCGCGTCAAATCCAACTGCCTCCTGCAGCAAAAACTCTACAGCCCGTGGCTCTGGAAGAAACCCTCCACGTCGGGCGGCAAAACCTTGTTAGTCTTCGCAGCCCAGTCACGCGCCGTTTTTTGGCACGACCTACATCCGGGGTCTACGTGTGCTACTTCTACGTAGTGCCGCATGCAAGTCAGACTTCGGGCTTCCGCTGCGTAGAGAAAGAGGTACTGCAGCTTCTTCTCCAAGCCGAGCTTCCAATCATTCTCGTGACGGCGCCAGTTCGCGCAGTGTGGCTGCCGATCACAAGGAGATCGCAATCCGTCTGTGCTGCGCGCAGTCGCAGACTGCCCTTGGCTTCCGCGTGGAGGTTGAGGAAACTGCGAGGAACCAGAGCTCGTGCCACCAGCTGCACCATGTTGGCCATCAGCACCTGTCCTCGCACCCACACCCATTTGCCAGAAAAAAGAACATGATTTGCCAGACAAAAAACAAGTATTACAGTTCGCTCCTCATTCAAGCACGCACGCACAGACCCGCAGGAAGCGCAAACACAAACGCACACACATACACACGCACACACACACACACAAACCAACAGAAAAATGCAACGCGCGCACGCATGCACGCACATATGCACGCAACAGCTGCTTGGGCACGTGCCCTGCGCGCAAGTTGCTCTGCACAAGTGCTTTGTGCAACTTGCTCTGTGCAAGTTGCGCTGCGCAAAGTGCTCTGTGCAAGTTGCTCTGCGCGAGTTACGCTGCGGAAGTTGCTCTGCAAGTTGCTCTGCGCAAGCTGCTCTGCGCAAGTTGCTCGGCGCAAGTTGCTCGGCGCAAGTTTTGCAGCTGGAGCTGCAGGAATGTACTCCGCGTACTACTCTTGTGATTTTGGAGCTGGAGGTGCGGGAATGTACTCCGCGTACTACTTTTGCACTTAAAATTTGCGACTTTCAGCTGGAACTGCGTGCAGCCAGAGCTGCCGCGGACCAGGCGGGGATCGCACCCGCGACCGCGCGACATCGGAGAGCAGCCGCGCAAACCACGAGACAATTGCCAAAGACAAATTCGCAAGCAAAAAGCACGCAAAAAAAAAGGAGACAACTCCCGAGGACTACGTGTGCTACTTCTACGTAGTGCCGCATGCAAGTCAGACTTCGGGCTTCCGCTGCGTAGAGAAAGAGGTACTGCAGCTTCTTCTCCAAGCCGAGCTTCGAATCATTCTCGTGACGGCGCCAGTTCGCGCAGTGTGGCTGCCGATCACAAGGAGATCGCAATCCGTCTGTGCTGCGCGCAGTCGCAGACTGCCCTTGGCTTCCGCGTGGAGGTTGAGGAAACTGCGAGGAACCAGAGCTCGTGCCACCAGCTGGACCATGTTGGCCATCAGCACCTGTCCTCGCACCCACACCCATTTGCCAGAAAAAAGAACATGATTTGCCAGACAAAAAAAACAAGTAGTACAGTTCGCTCCTCATTCACGCACGCACGCACAGACCCGCAGGAAGCGCAAACACAAACGCACACACATACACACGCACACACACACACACAAACCAACAGAAAAATGCAACCGCGCGCACGCATGCACGCACATATGCACGCAACAGCTGCTTGGGCACGTGCCCTGCGCGCAAGTTGCTCTGCACAAGTGCTTTGTGCAACTTGCTCTGCGCAAGTTGCGCAAAGTGCTGCGTGCAAGTTGCTCTGCGCGAGTTACGCTGCGGAAGTTGCTCTGCAAGTTGCTCTGCGCAAGCTGCTCTGCGCAAGCTGCTCTCCTGGCAACAATCAGCACAGCAAAACAAACACCAGCAAAACTCTCCAGATTTCGATCCTGGCCTGTGGCCTGGCCTGTGGGCACAGCTTCTCCACGACAGCGGCAGCTAGGTCTGCCTTGGTCACGTTGCTGCCTGCGACCCATTGGCGCACATCCAGCCGTCGGGCGAGTGCGCGAAGTTGGGGTTGGGCTTTGGCCGCCACTCTTGCTGCAGCCACGCTTTGCCATGCTGGGCCGCGCCAGCCTGAAGCCTAGCTACTTCGAGCTCCATGACTTCTGTTTGAGCCAAATCTCGATGATCATCCGCAAGATGCCACATAACAACCAGCCGTGTGCGCCATGCCCGTAAATAAGCCGTGTGCGCCATGCTCCCCGCAACTTCTTTCATGATGAGAACTCCTTGCGTCAAACTCCTACAGGGTGAGTGGCCTGAAAGCATAACTCCCCACGATGTGCGGCAAACTTGTTTAACCCCGGCCTGGCACATGCGCAAGTTGCTCTGCGCAAGTTGCTTTGCGCAAGTTGCTCTGTGCGAGTTGCAGTGTGTGCAAGTTGGCGCGAGACAGCACCAGGCAAGGTGCTCTGCGCAAACTGGTCGGTGCAAGTTGGTCTGCGCAAGTTGCTCTACGCAAGTTGCACTGTGCAAGTTGCTCTGCGCAAGTTGCTCCGCGCAAGTTGCTCCGGCAAGTTGGTCCCTGCAAGTGGCTCCCTGCACGTTGCTCTGTGCGAGTTGCAATATGTGCAAGTTGGCGCGAGACAGCACCAGGCAAGGTGCTCTGCGCAAACTGGTCGGTGCAAGTTGGTCTGCGCAAGTTGCTCTACGCAAGTTGCACTGTGCAAGTTGCTCTGCGCAAGTTGCTCCGCGCAAGTTGCTCCGGCAAGTTGGTCCCTGCAAGTGGCTCCCTGCAAGTTGCTCTGTGCAAATTGCGCTCCCTGCAAGTTGCTCTGTGCAAGCTGCTCTGTGCAAGTTGCTCTGTGCAAGTTGCTCTGCGTAAGTTGCTCTGCGCAAGTTGTGCAAATTGCGCTCCCTGCAAGTTGCTCTGTGCAAGCTGCTCTGTGCAAGTTGCTCTGTGCAAGTTGCTCTGCGTAAGTTGCTCTGCGCAAGTTGCTCTAGGCAAGGCGCTCTGCGCAAACTGGTCGGTGCAAGTTGGTCTGCGCAAGTTGCTTTAAAATGCAAGTTGCGTCTTGCGACGCCCGCCCGCGGACCAGGGAGGAATCGAACCCGCGACCGGCCGGCCCGGGAGCAGGCGCGCGAACCACGAGACAACTCCCGAGGACCAGTTCGAACAACCAAAGTCGCAAAAAACCTCGACTTTTTGCACCTCGACCACGCCGATCCCCGCAGAGGGTTGCGCGGGCACCGCAGAAATCGCAAAAAACCATGGGTTTTTGCACCTCGACCACGCCGATCCCCGCAGAGGGTTGCGCGAGCACCGCAGAAATCGAAAAAAACCTCGAGTTTTTGCACCTCGACCACGCCGATCCCCGCAGAGGGTCGCGCGAGCAGCGCAGAAATCGCAAAAAACCATCGGTTTTTGCACCTCGACCACGCCGATCCCCGCAGAGGGTCGCGCGAGCAGGTTAGAAATCGCAAAAAACCATGGGTTTTTGCACCTCGACCACGCCGATCCCCGCAGAGGGTCGCGCGAGCAGGTTAGAAATCGCAAAAAACCATGGGTTTTTGCACCTCGACCACGCCGATCCCCGCAGAGGGTCGCGCGAGCAGGCAGAAATCGCAAAAAACCATGGGTTTTTGCACCTCGACCACGCCGATCCCCGCAGAGGGTCGCGCGGGAACTTTAGAAATCGCAAAAAACCATGAGTTTTTGCACCTCGACCACGCCGATCCCCGCAGAGGGTCGATTTTCGTGTAGTGTCGTCGGCACTACCCCGCCGCCCTAAGAAGAGATTTTAACTCCTCGCAAGTCAATTGCACTTGACTCCTTGCACTTGCAACTTGCACTCGACTCCTTACACTTGCAACTTGCACTTGACTCCATGCACTTGCAACTTGCACTTGACTCCATGCACTTGCAACTTGCACCTGACTCCTTGCACTTGCAACTTGCACTTGACTCCTTGCACTTGCAACTTGCACTTGACTCCATGCGCAGCTCGCAATGACTCTCATGACTCCTTGCAATGACTCCTTGCAATGACTCCTTGCAATGACTCCTTGCAATGACTCCTTGCAATGACTCCTTGCAATGACTCCTTGCAATGACTCCTTGCAATGACTCCTTGCAATGACTCCTTGCAATGACTCCTTGCAATGACTCCTTGCAATGACTCCTTGCTCCTTGCAATGACTCCTTGCAATGACTCCTTGCAATGACTCCTTGCAATGACTCCTTGCAATGACTCCTTGCAATGACTCCTTGCAATGACTCCTTGCATTGACTTTCATGATGATGATTCCTTGCAATGACACCTTGCAATGACTCTCATGAGAACAACTCAAGTGAACCCAGCGGAAGAACCCTTCGCCATGCTTTCGGGAACATGTCTTGTCCCTGGAAACTTGAAGTGAATGGACATTCCGAAGTCGAGCCCCGTCCTCCATGGCCTTGATGAAGCCGCTGAGCCAAAGGCGCGGGAGCCGCGAGCCGCGAGCCGCGAGCCGAGAGCCGGCCGCGCCTCCGGCAGGAAAACGGGAACGGCGAACCAGAATGTGGCATCCGTTGATGCAAACGGATACATCCAGCCCTTCCCCAGAGGGTCAGAGGGTCCCTTGGTACCTCCTGAGGATGGCTTCTGGGGGCTAAAAAGGGGTCTAAGTACCTCCTTAGAAGCTACTTGGACCCTCTGGGTTCTCGGCTGCTCGAAAAACAAGTTGCACAGAAATATCTAGATCGCATCTGGCAAGCATATAAACGCCAACTGCATGCAGTTTGTTGGCGTTTAGCCCCTTTTTTTGCGCCTCGGCATCAAACTTGGGCTTGCAAGATGCAAGGAAAATCGGTCGAGAAGCGCGGTGAAGGACAATTCGCGACAAGTTCCTGTCTGAAACTCCACTGCAAATGGACTGTATTGGATTCTTGGCGCGCAGATTTATCAACTCCACTTCAACGCAGGACATATTGAAATAAAATATCCGTCTGCGATGCGGTCTTGGCATTCCGGCGGCAAGGGTTGCCGCGCGAATGCGAAACATGCTCGAAAAAGTGGGCGGCAGGCTGGCAAACTCCCATCTGAAAATGCCAAGGGCTGGAGACTAGGCCAAATGAGCCAGAATGCCTGATATTAAGGTGTACCCCAAACCACGTGGGAGACCACAAAGCGTCTCATGCCGCCGCTGCTTTCGCCCGCTTTGCGGCGCGCTCGGCGTCCACACTCCAGCACTTGCCTGCCGCATGGGCGCTTTAAGCGGGTTTCCTTTTGGCTCTCTTGCAAAACCACAAACAAGTACCCACTCACAATTAAAAAAGAAGTGAACATTGTCCTACTCTTAAACACCCCCCAGCCCCCACCCTCCCCACCCCCCACCCTTCTTTTTTTTGGGGGGGGGGGGTTGCCCGACTTCTTGAGACCCACCACCAAAACGACCCCTTCAGCGCGACGCGAAGCGCCTGCGGCCTTGACCACCGCCACGCGCTCCTCCAAGGTCTCGGGGCTCAAGGCGCTGCCGTCCGGCGTCAGCTCGGCCAGCGCCCGCGCCAGACCTCACGGGAAGAGGCGAGCGCCCGCTTGCCGCTGGAAGAATCCCGCCCATGTTTGGGAAGGAGGGGGAAGGGGCAAAAAGGAGGTGAGGGCTTTGTTGTGTTTGTCTTTCCTTTTCTTTTTTTCTTGGGGTGTTGTTGGGGTTTGTTCAGCGAAAGAGAAAACCCCCTTGGACCACTGGGACTCCATGAGCTGGAGCTGTCTGTGGTTTGGCACCAAATGGTTGCTTTGGTCTTTTCTGGTGTAGCTCGAGGAAGATAACCCACACACCAAAATGCCCCCCCCTCCCCCCACCTCGCGCAAAAACAGATCTGCCAGTTGCGGTCCTTTTCCTTACGTCGGATGTCATACGGAATGCCCACCCTCCATGGCACTTTCGCCTTCCAGGCACACGCAGTGGCGCAGTGTCTGGCCAAGGATGCTGTTGTGAAACTCTTCCAAGCAATCAAGTCCGTTGCGCGGAGAGTGCGCAGCACAAGCACCTGGTCATATTGTGCCGCTGTAAAGTCAGGCCTCTGCTCAGTGCTTGGTATGAAGCAACCTGTGCCACAAAGTCGCATTATCTTTGAGAGGTTCTGGCCCTTGAATTTCTATATATATATATCCATTGCCAGGCGCTGATTTGTTGCATTCATACTGTTGCCACACACACACACAGAAATTGGCACGTGAAGCCCAAACAATGCTCCTTTAGGTCCTCCCCCCCCTTCCAAAAAGAAAGGAAAAGAAGAAAGAAACCGCAGCGCGGTTACCCACAAAACACTCTCACACACACAAAACATATGTTTTTTTTGTTTGTCCGTTTGTTTTATTCTTTCAAAAAAAAAGAGAGCAAACAAAACAAAAACAAAAAACAACGAGAGGGAACACCTCGGGCCGCTGCAGATTCAGCGTGGCTGTGTGAAACGGGCCTCTCAGAAGCGAGAGGCAGGGTCCGCTTTCGCGAGGCGCGCGTAGAGCCAGCCCGTGGCAGACACGGCGATGCCCAGGCCCGCGATGGAAACGGTGTACATGACGTCGCCTGTGTCTGCTTCCATTTGCAGTTGAGACCCCTGGATTTATCTATTTTATATATTTAAAAATAACATTTTAGGTAGTGATGGACTCCCTTTAAAACCATCAAGGGGAAACAACACATATTCTTAAGCAAACGGACTCTTGAGTGTTTACCCCCTTTTTGGCGGTCAGCAGAAAACCAAAAAGGACCACCGCAATCCATTTTGTGGGTTCCCCTACTTTGGCACATGACATCACATCTGATCCGGTCGGCGCCCCAACATGTGTTGAGGGTTGCCGTCATGGGGGAAAAACCTAATCTAGCAAGGGCTCAGTACGCGCAGAAGAGCGTTGCTCTGAATTCTCTTTACATCTTCGTCAGGGTCCACTGGACTAAGCTTGAGTCACAATCAAAACCTGGTACACGAATGGTCGACCCAGAACCATGCTTCAAGAACTAAGAAGGCGGATATCCGCAGCTATTTCTGGCGATCGTCCTTTACTAAGCTTCAGCTACCCAGGTTTTGATCGTCATCCCCGGGCCGGCCCCGCCTGCGCGTTGAGGCGCGACAATACGCAGATACCCAAAGTAGATCCGCGTAAGGCAGGTGGACGCCTCGGAAGGCGGAACGGGATCCGGTCGCTTCCTTTCTTGAAGGGTTCCCCGTTTTCGGGCTCGTTTTTCTGGAGACCGCATAGGAAACCACGTTCGGACACCGCCACTCGGAAACCACATTGAAGGGAAATGACCAGGAGGCTGTGGCTCAATAAACCGGTACCAAAATGGAACCCTGGTAAGTGGAAACATGGACCAAAACCTGCGTAACCCCTCCTGGTTATTCTTGAGCCACACCCAGGAAACCTCCAATGCACTTTTGGGGTGGATCCCGTTTGAGGTGCCAAGCTCCGATTCCAACTCGCTTCGTTTGGAGTTTCGAGCGGTCGCCTGGGACACGCTGTCCAGCACACCCATGGCAAAGGCCCGCTCTTCGCGGGGCACCACGGAGCCTAAGGAAGCGCCGGTTCGTCTCGACGGTGGAAAAAGGAAAACCGGGAACAAAAAACCTGGTTTTGTTTGAAGGAAGCCAAAAGGAGAACCAGGAAATGTGGGGTTTTGTGTAAAGGGAGCCAAAAGGGAAGAAATCGGAAAAACACAATTCTGGTGTGTTTTTTTGGGGGTTCTTTTGGGGCTGGTTTAAAGGGAAACCAAAAGGAAAACACACAATTCGTGTTTTGTTGCGGTCCCGGAAAAATTGTCCATCTGTTGGGAAGGTTTGGTGGGGGGTTTTGGGTGGGGGGGTTCGGGGTTTCGGGGGAAGAGGGTGGTTGGGTGGGGGGGGGGGGACTTCCTTTGGGTGACGTAAGCTGGAAAAACGAGCAAGTTCCGTTCCTGGCAAATTGGGCACACAACCAGTGGAAACTCTAAACCAGCGGAGCCCATCTATTTCTAACCAAACCAACCACACCTATGCTCCATCTCCTTTGGGGTTTCACTCCAGAAGCCTTCGAAGCCAAATCAAAGCCTCAAAAGCCGCACAGCTGGATGTCTTAAACTATCTCTCAGATGCTGCCGCCAACAAACATGTTGTCCTAAACTATCTCCTACAAATCGAATCACAGCCCTGCCCATTCCAAGGCGCAATAGGCCGTGTAGGGCAAGTAGAGCAGTGGCCCACAACCAGCACCTGGCAAGGCTCCAGCTGCATCGAGATGCTTCGGCACTTCGGCATCCATGCGAAATGGAAAGCGAGCAAAGCGAAGCAACCAGCTTTTGCATCGAAAGCCGTGCAAGCAAGCAAGCAAGCAAGCAAGGCAAGGCAAGGCAAGGCAAAGCAAGCACTGGGTGTTTCTTTTTTAGGCTGAGCATAGCTTCGGCTTTGGTTTTCCTCTTGGTTTCCCTCTAAACACAAAACAACCGACGGGGTACACCGAGTACCCAACTCCAACCAGAAAGCGCCCGGCCGGTTTTGCCCCGCCACCAAGGCCGGCTCCTTTTGCCCCGGCCACGCCTGCCAGCAACAAGCAGGTCACCGTCACCGGGAGGTTTGGCTTCACGATCACCTCCAGGACCGCGAAGGCCACGAAGCCTCAGATTTGCAAACCCGGCCAGGACTCGGCCAAAGCTTCTCTCCTGAGATATGCGTGCAGTCACAACTAGGTACCCGGTACCCCAGTGGAAGCCTGGTGAATGAAAAAAAAGGATTCAAATCTGCAGTCGGTGGTTTAATTTTGACCCATCATGGCTGGCTCGGATGGCTTCCTTCAGTTGGCACCCCGCCTCTTCTTGACCGGAGAAATGGGTTGCGCAACATTTTAGGGGGCGATCGGTTGCGCAATTTGGGGTCTCTTACCTTAAAGACACACCCAAGTGGGATCAATCATCAAAGATGCCATGGAACATGGTTGGGAAAATAGATGGCCCTGGTAGTTGATTGAACCAGGTAAGCCAGGAATCGCCCTTAATTTTTCAACCAAATCAACTACAAAGGACACCTATGTGGGCGCTCCGTGCCAGGATTGGCACCACAACCGGCACATCGCTCCCTTCAACTCGTGGCCCTTCCCTGCCAAGGCTCCCAAGGTGGCCTCGCGGGAAACAAAAACATGTGCGAAAGCTGCTGGTCTCTCACAAAGCCTTGGACCAATCTGTGGTCGATTCATGTCCGGAATATCCTCTTCACAAGGCATGCATCCGTGAAAAGAAAAGAATGCCTAAGAACTGCCACCACATTTTCTGCGTCAGAGCCAAGCTTTCAGCCGTTACCACATTTTTTTTGTGTCAGAGCCAGGAGGTCGCCGTTTCCAGAACGAAACGCCTGGATCAGCTGCAGCGACCGCCCCATGCTGCGGCCCTTCGCCAAGGTCACAGCGCCTGGCGGCCACCGTGAAAGCCACGGTTGGGTTCATATCCACCGACCCCTCGCCCAAGAGGGGAGGCGCACGGGAAGGGTCAAAAAATATGCGAGGATGATAGTTATCATCGTGATAGTAATGCCTTTTGGTCTTCCTTCAAACCCCACCAAAACCTGGGTCCCCACGGGAAAAAAAATGGGGGGGGGGGGGGGGGGCAAAAATCGTTTGGGGTGTCGAAGGTCCTACCCAAGAACCCCACGATCTTCCTTTCAAACCCAAACCCTTGGCACCCCCCGAAAAAGACCAAGCTCGGCGCCGCGTTTCCTTTTCTTGGGGGGGCGTCCCCCGCTTTTCCACCGCTTTTCCGCCACGTTCTCTGGCGCGCCGAGAGCCGAAGGCGCGCCGAAGGCAAAAACAAAACCGCTTCCGACCGCTTCCGCCGAAGGCGCGCCGCCCAAAACCGCCGCAGGGCGCGAGCGAAAAAAGCGCCTGCGAAGAGGAGGCCCAGGAAGGTGCCCGCCAACAAGCTGCTGGCCGCCATGGCCGACTGGCCGCTGCTCAACTCGAACTTCCTCAGCGAGCGGCCGATGGCGGCCGAGGCGAGGATGCCGAGCGGGGGAGAGGATGCCAGGATGCCAGGCGGGAGAGAGGACCTGTGAGAAACAAATTCCCAACGAGAAAATGCCGAAGACCTTCCGGGATATCCTTGGAAGACATGGCTGGTGTAGAGGCCAAAGCAACTGTGCCATGTCCTAAACATTTGATTCATAAACAAAGCCCGGGATTAAAATTGTCGTAAGCCCCGAACCATGCTTCAAGAATTCAGACGAATATCAGCAACTAGTTCTGGCTGGGAGTCTCCCTTACTAACCTCCATCTACCCGGGTTTTGATTGTGGCTCAAGTGCCGGACGAAGGAAGCGGTTTCAAAAGAAGCGGCCCAATCCCCAAAAGAACCTGTGCAAGTGAAGCTGTGCCAATATGCAAAGCTGCCTCAAGTTGTGAAAAGTGCCCGATGTTCAGATGGCCATGGGTCAAAATCCAAATCGTACCCCCAGTGAACCTCAACCAATCCAACCACTAAAATAGGTTCTAAAATGTGTGGTAAATTCACCCACCTACCAACCAAAATGGTTGATCCCAAAACGATTCCCCACTAAAATAGGTTCTAAAATGGGTGGTGCAGCTACACGTGATCCCCAAAATGGTTGATCAACCAAAACGGCTTTGACCACCACAGCCATATGGCTTGAGGACAAGAGGCTGCTTCAGGAGAACGGCGAGGTATCCTTGGGCTACAAGTCTGGGTTGATACAAACAGAATCTCAAGATTTGGTTCAGGGTTTGCAGGCGCTTGAAATTTGCCCATGTCACAGCCCCACCAAACACGAACATTTGTTGGTCACAAAAATGCTTGGTTCTCCCTTTTGGTTTCACTTCAAAACCATCCAAACAGGGTATCCACAAATTGAGGCTGTAACAGGCCCTTGGGCTGGTTTCAAGGGAAACCCAGTCCGCGGCCCTTTCCTTTGAGACAACCCCAGTTGGCGCCCCAGGGGATGTCTCCCGAAAATTTTGCCTTTTCCGCGGGCCTGCGAGCGCCCAAATGCAGCCCCCGCCGGTCAGCAGCAGCAGAGCCAGCCAGGCATTGAGGTCACTCAGCAATCGCCGCCACTTGCTACCTGCGAGGCTGGAAGACGTGGATAAAGTGTCTCTTGTCATATTTGTGGAGGGAACCCCGTCTTTGCGACGTCTTTAAAGGAAAACCAAAAGGGAAACCCATAATTTTGCAAATGCCCTAAATAAGGAACCACACCCACATGTCCCACCACGCTTGGCGGACAGTTTCTCTGCTCTCAGATTCTGGCTGTAGCTAACACCGGAAGTCTCGCTGTGCTCGTGGACATTGGGCACAAGCCTGGCGAGAGCGGCAACAACCAAATTGCTCGGCAGGCAGGCACGCTGCTCTGCTTGTTCTTGGTTGATTCTGAGCATCCTTTGTTCCAAAAGAGCCCTCAGTGGCCTGGTAGTTCATCTTCAAGTGATCTCAAATGAACTTCGTCCAATAAAACAAGCGCCTGAATTTTGTCATGCGTGTGGATTTCGGTTGCATGTCCCAAGGACTTCTTTTGTGAGCGGCGCTTTCGAGATATTTTTGCGTGTCTGACTTCGACATCTCAGAGGTTTCTGGGCGTTTGAATGTCTGCGGGACCCATAGCTTGAGGCTTAGGATGGCCAAATGAAAGCAGCTGTGAATTGGCTCTGGCTTTTCATGCTGCACGCATCCAACATCTATTTTTGAATTCATGTCGCGGGAGAGTTGAAAATCAAGCGCCTCTCCGGGGGGTGCATCAGTCAAGCAATGTCAGACCTGCATATGGCCATGGGTCAAAATCCCGTACCCCCAGTGAACATCCCAATCCCCACTGAATAGACTAAAATGGGTGGTGCACCTACATGTGATCCCCAAAATGGCACCATTGGTTTTGACACACAGCCATATGTCTTCGAACACTCTGACATCATCGGGAACACTTGGATGGAGCTTGGGAGTGGTCTGAAACAGGAAAGCGTCTTTGGATTGGGGGCTGTTACATGATCCGGAAAAGAATCACCCTCTCCCCTTAGCACTCTTCCTCTCTTCCTCTCTCTCTCTCTCTCTCTCTCTTTCTGAGTCTGCGCTCGATTTGTTTGTCTCTCTCTCTCTATCTTTTTTCCCTCTTTCCCTCTTTGTTTAATGTTTACTTGCTTATTTGTTTATTGATCTTCTTTACTATTGTTGTTTATTTATCTACTGTCTGTTTTGATTCATGTTTGTTTCTTTTGCTCTATTCATGTATTTTGCTTGATGTTTTTCGTGCTTTCTTTCCTTCTTTCTTTCTTTCTTTCTGTCTTTCTTTCTTTCGGTCCTTCCTTCATTCCTTCCTTCATTCCTTCCTTCCTTTCTTCCCTTCTTCCTTTCTTCCTTCCTTTCTTCCTTCCTTTCTTCCCTTCCCTTCCCTTCCCTTCCCTTCCCTTCCCTTCCCTTCCCTTCCCTTCCCTTCCCTTCCCTTCCGGTTGTTTCCTATTGGATTCCCTTTACAAGAATCCCAAACAGGGGACCCCCGAAAATGAGAGAGAAACTCCGCCTGTGCAGCATCACAATGCTCCCCAGCAGGGGCAGTGCCACGCAGCCGCCGAAGCAGGTCAGGGCCCCGCGCCAGCTGTATCCCATGGTCAGCAGCTTGCCCAAGGACAGGTCACCCACTGCTCCTCCAAAGAGAAAAGCTGGTTCCTCCCTAATGGTTACAGTGGTGACCCATGGCGCTGGTGGCCGGGTTTGGTACATTCCTGACGTCAACTGGAAGAGGGAAGGAGTCACCCACATTGCAAGCCCACTGCTGAGACAATTACTCACCCCAAGCGGCCGACCAAGCCTGAAGCCTGAAGCTTAGGCTGTCGCGTTGCGCGAAACTCGAATGCCACAAGCTCCGAAAAATATCAAGTCACTGGTGCATCCCATCTGGGAAGGACACTCTACGCATCTTTGAGGAGTCTTCGGCAGAGTACTTCGCAACAATTCTTGATTCAGCTGGTCATCCCTATTGGCTCTAGTGATACGTCCTGCTTTGCCCCGTCCATTGCTTGCATTGAACGGCGTTAATTATTTTGTGCCACAGACGTATGCCAGGACATGGTGAGGCATGAACACGTCACCGGGTCAATGTTCAGTTTGCCGATGGGGAACCGACCCCCCCACCCACAAAAACATAATGCTCTGTGCAGGATTCTAAGGGGCAAGGCTGCTCTGACAAGCTTTTTTTCTGGTATGCTTACTCAGGGGCCAAACCCTCCGACTCTCCAATTCTGGGCTTAAAATCTAGGGGGTGCCTCAGCAGGTTTACCATCGGCATCGAGATCAGTCCGAAGAGTCCACATTAGGACCGTGTAAAAGGTAAACTTGCTGGTGCTCAGTAGGGAATGACCCAGGGTTTTGGGAATGAACCTAAAGTTTCCCTGAAAGGAAACCATAAGGGATCGCGTAAATCGGGGTTCATTCCATTTCTCATTCACCAGCAAGTAAATACTCAAACCACTTGCAGAAACCGTGCGTTCGCAAAGAAGAAGACACCTTGAACAATCGGATCGCGTGCCTGTCCTGACAGTCTAGATGCCAGGGCACAGCAAAAGAACACGCCGTCCTGCCTCTCCTGCGAGTTTTTTTGTGCGCAAACTGGTGCTGAGAGCTGTTGCCTCTTTCCATCAATCATGGAAGCTGCCAGGTCTGAACACTACTTGCCTTTCCGGGAACCCTCTGTCCACTTCCATGATTGTTGGAAAGGGGGTAGCAGAAACACAAAAAGGCATGTGGCATGTTCACTCTTGACCCTTTCGCAGAAAGCTGCTACCAAAAATTGCCAGTGAAAGGAAAACATCTGCCTTGCCACTCACATGAGCCCAAGCGCGCAATGCCAAGATCACCTGTCCAATCTGCCACAAAAACGTCCAAAGCGAAGCCCTCGATCAAAAAAATACACCTCCCAGACCCCTGTTCTTTCGAGCATTCCCTGACAAACAACTTTTTACCACGGCAGCCCCCTCAGACCCCACAAGAAAAACTCGGCCAAGCGTCTGCTGGGACACTCTGGAACACGATGCTGCCCAGTGCCGGCCAAAGGATGCCTGAAGCCGTTCGTTCCTTCCAACACGCCAAGCAAACGCACCGGCCGGCGTCTGTCTCAAAACAGGGAAACCTCCCAAAATTGAGCTCCAAATTGGGCGTCACAAGTCATGGGCTGGGTGACAAGAGAACTCCAAACATGGCCAAGGGCATGTATCCTTTTGGATTTCCTGAAAACCCAACCAACAGGCTGGACCCCCCCCCCAAAAAAAAAAACAAAAAAAACCAGCAATATCCCCCCCAAAAAAAAACACAAAAAACAAAGCAATTTATCACCATTTCCCAGCTCAGACCTTGCCCTTTTGTTGTCTCCAAGCCGCCCTTCACGAAGTTCACGAAGAGCAGAATCAGCACCTGACTCTCTCAAAACCTGGTTTCTCACTCCAACAAAACACCAAATCAACCGCTCCAAAGCACAAGCTGCATCAGTTTTTTGCTTTTTTTGATTTTTTTTTTGGGGGGGGGGCTGGCCTCTGCCCACCCCTCCTGCCGGTCTTTTCTTTCTCCCAAGCCACTAGCTCCGCGGCCGAAGGCAGCAGTGCGGCCACGAAGACGCCGGTCAACGCCAGGAGGCCCTCGACCGCCATCAAATGCCCCGGCCTCCGGCGAGCGCATCGGATTCCACGGGTTCTCAAAAGGAACGGCAGAAAACCGCCCCCCCCCCCCCAAAAAAAAAAAAGAGAGATAAAAAACACAGACTTAAAAACATCAAAAACTGGGGCCTCCAGGACCGCCCGCACTCAAGAAAAACTGAATAAGTCAACATTGGAAGAAACTCCTTCTGGGAGGTTCCATGGTTAAAATGTCGGAACCCCCTCAAAAAAACTCGTCGTTGGAAGACAAATCCTGTTGGGCGGTTCCATGGTTAAATGTCGGATGTTCGGAAAGACTGGAAGGAATCTCCAGAGCACTTGGCATATATTTTTGATCAGAAATGGGTGAGGGGTTACGCAGGTCTTGGCCTTTGTTTCCACTTACCAGGGTTCCATGTTGGTACTGGTCTTTGGAGCCACAGCCAAATGTGTCTTGTTTCTCAGCTGAAGTCTTTGAAGTCCCAATGATCGCTGGCACCAGCTCTAGCTGCTTGCTGTCAAGCAGTTCCTTCACAGTGAGGCTCGGGCTCCAGGTAGTCCTGAGTTCCACATTGCGGGTGTCACCTTCTGTGTTAGTTTTCAAACTGGCCTAATTATTTTACCATGATCAAAGTCATCCCCTGAGGTGGTGCAAAGGGAAACAACCCCATGGTCTGACTTTGATAACTTCCAGATACAGTCAAAATAATGACCCCTGTCAAAAGAAACCAAGAAAACAAAGTGCGCCGCTCTCGGGGTCCTAAAAAAAGAGGAACCACCCGTTCCAAAATTTGGGGACGGGGGGGAACAGCATTCCCACGTGAACTCAAAGTTGGACTGCAGCTGTGGCGCTGCCGCCGGCCCCGCGAGGCAGAGCCCCAGTGCCTCCGAGCAACCGAATCGGAACGCAAACCGAATCGAGTGAGTCACTTGCTCAAAACCCGGTACCAAAATGGTCGAAATCCCAGAACCATGTTTCAAGAATTAGGAAGGCGGATATCCGCAACTTCTGGCTGCGAGCCCGCTCAAGTGGCTCTAGGAGTGAGGCTTAGATACAAGTTGCATACATTTCCCGTGGGTCTTTGGAGATTGGAACCCAAAGAACATGCGAGTGATGCACAGTCTCGTGTTCTTTGTGGCTTACGTGCAGGGTTCCGTTTTTTGACTACCCCAGGGCAGGCTTAAACCCAGGGGTGGTTGATTCCCCCAAAAGGGAACCCCCTGCCCTGGGTTCGGGGGCCTTAAAAAGAAAGGCCTTTAGGAATCCAGGAAGCGGCCGTGAAATGTGGGGAACGTCCTTTGTTTGCAGGCTGGACGCTTTTAATTGGGTTGAGCGTTTTGTGTTGGCCGCATTAGTGGCCACATGGCTTTGCAGTGCTTGTGGCTGAAAATTACGCTTTCCAAAGCCTCGCGAAAACCATGTAGACATGTTGAAGCTGGTCAATGCTCAAGGTCTTCAACTTTGTGGGATTTCTAAAGACACTGATCATGGGCTTAGCAATGGGAAATCGCCAAAGGGAAAAGCGTGAAAATACCGTGAAATTGGCGTGAACACCCTTTTTTTGCAGTGAAAAACCGTGAAATGCTGACGATGTAAAGTTGGAATTCCACCCAGGCCCCCATCCCCCAGCTAGTCAAACAAAGGATGTTCATGTAACGGCCTTTGTTTTAAAAGCCTTTTACCCCCCAGGGCGTGGGTTTAAGTCTACCCCAAGATAGCCAAAGAAAAGATCCCTGTTTGTCGTTTCACCCGCAAATTGCGTTGCGCCTCGCAGAGCGTGCAGCTCCAGTTCACCGTCAGCGTGGTGGTCTTCGTCCAGCCGAGCTTGGCATCCGCCTGGCATGACTGGACGCTGAGTCACTTGCTCAAAACCCGGTAGTAAAATGGTCGTAATCCCAGAACCATGCTTCAAGAACGAAGAAGGCGGATATCCGATGATCCGCAACTATTTCTGGCTGGGATTGTCCCTTACTAACCTTCATCTACCCGGGTTTTGAGCCGGTGGCTCAGGTAAGCATGGCATGTGTCCTTTGTTTAGGGGACCCTTTACTTGACGCTGGACCTTACGGCTGGCAAGCCCAGCGATGGGGAAAAACAGGCCCTAGGTCCTGACTCCAAGAAGCCGGTGGGAAACGAACAAACTCGCCGCCTCCCAGGCTGGCAGCAGCCCCCAGAAATAGTAGCTGCACGCAGTGATGGCGAAGACGATGACGGAGAGGCACACGACCAGATGGGACTCCTGGGCCAAAAAAAGTCGTGGCGGATCTGGTCAAAAAACCACAGCCCCCTGAGCTCCTGCACTGGGGTGGAGTCCTTTGCCAATTGGGCAGCGCCATAATTGACTCCTGGGAGCAAAGTTGGAGGCAATGATTACACTAAGTTTTCTTAAGAGGTATCCAGCTGCTTGAACGAAAACTTGCGGGATGCGGCCTTAAGCCAGCCTGCAAAGGAAGGGTCGCCAATGTGCTGGGACCCGGGACCCAAGCTGAAGGTAGAACCTGTAAAAGGGGAAATCGCTGGAAACAAGAAGCTGCCCGCTAACTAATGTTCTGCTGTTGAAAAGCTGGATACATGCCTTATGCTTGTAATTACCAGCGGGAACCCATGACCGGGCAAGTGGATGTGGCAAGTCTCATCCGGCTTATGGATGCATGGAGCCAAAACGTCTCCTGCCGATATCATCCAGCCATGGAAGGGGGGGTTCCAGTGACAGCGAGCCGAAATGGCTCTGCGCACGAGTGGAATGCAAGGATTGTTTGTCCCCTGTCCATGCTCCCGAAGCCGTTGCACTGCGGCGCTGGCGCTCATCGGACGCCTCCAACTCGCCCTAGTGCGCCAGGAGCGGATCCCGGGTGTCTTTGAAAAAAAACTGAGCCAAAACTGAGCCCAGCACAGCTTCCTTCTCTGCCCGCAGCTTCTGTCGCATACTCAAAGCATCCTGGCCAGGGGTGGGAGACACAGGCTCTGTACTTGGGTCCCTTATGGTCACCAACCGCATGGTCCCAGCCTTGGTGCCCTTGAACCTGAGATGGCACGTGCGCAAGGAATCAGAGGACATTTGGCTGTGGCTCACCTTGGTAGATGGAACCAAAGACTAAAACCTGCGGTTTGCCCCTAGCTCTTCAATTTTGAGCCACAGGCATTTGGGTTGCACAGCTTCGGATTCCAACTTCAAGCATTCAGCCCAAGGCCAAGCTTGACACGGCCGGAAGGATTCTGCGGCCAGGGACTTTCCGTGGCATTGTCACTGATGGATCTTACTGCGACCAACTCGTCTGGACTCCATAGGATTTCCGATGCGGAAGAATTCGCCAGGGTTCCTTTCGCTTTTTGGCTATAGACGTAACTCCAGGAATAAATTCTCTTTTGGACGGGAATGAACCACGGGGTGTAAACGGTCAAAAAGTCCAACTGCGCTGAGCCCCTCGCTGCGATGGGCAGTTTGTGAAGCACGGGACCATCACTGCCTCGTCCTCCTCCAGAGGCGGCGCCTTGCAAACGATTCCCGACTGCGGCGTGCTGCCGGATTCGGCGGAGCACTTTTGATGCAAAACCCCCCCCTCCTCCCAGTTGGGTTTGTAATCAAACTGGGGGAACCCCTGAAACTTCCGTGGATTTCACCAGTGGTTTCCCTTTAGTCAAAACCAATCCGAAAAAGGGCTCCAACTCCAAAAAACAACAGCACCCTGTCCCGCGCTTCTGAGCTGCGGATTGAAACCGGAGCCTCCACGCCGAAGCGCCACCGGCAGCTGAAGTCGTCATAATTTGGCCTCGCGAGAAGCCGAGCGAGCGTCCAGCCAGCGGGGGAAGGTCAAAGAGATCCGGGGGAAACAAAAGTTGACCCGGAGGAATACTTTATTCAAATATGGGGGGGGTGGCCGGTTCAGGCTTAACGTTTTAGCGGGGATATTTGTTTTATCACTTTTGGAGGGGAACGCGCCCATATGAATAAACTTATATTCATCCGGGGTCAACATAGGCGCGTGCTGACCATCCGCTCCGAAACCTTGAGAACTCAGACTCGGCAGGCTCGGCCGGCTCGGCCGTTTCTGCGGCTCCCGCTGGATGTGCAGCGGCATTCCGAAGTCGGCGGTCAGCCATCCCTGCGATGGAACCTGCCGGGATTTTTGCCCCCGAGGTGGGACCCGATTCGTTGATTTTTGCCCAGCGCCTTGCAGGTGTTCACACACACCGAGGCGCAGTTCCTAGCATGCCGAAGCCCGAACCCCTCGGGCTAGCTCTTTTCCTTAAGAACCGACATGGGGAGAATTTCATCATTCTGTCGGAAAGAATCCTTTTCAGCATCAAGCCGTGCCACGCATCCACTCGGCAGTCCAATCGGCCGTCCGGGCTCCGAGCGCGCTCTCCAGGAAGCGGCACCTTTCCGCCTTGACACTCTGCGGCACCCGCCTGAGGCGTCTCCCGACTTCCGTTTGGACCATCTGACAGTTGGCTCGAGAAAGTGGAAGCCATTTTTGGGCCCCTTGGATGGAAGCAAAGACCAACATCTGCGGTTTGCCCCAGCCCTGAAATTCTGAGCCACACCCATCTGACAGTTCATTCGGGCGCAGTTTCCAGTAAACTCGACTTCCAAGGGGTCACGGCTCTCTTTGCAACGAATCGTCCAAATGAGAGCCCCAAGTAGACGTGGCTGCAGTGGTGTAGAACTCTTTCCTTGCCAGTCGTCGGGTTATACTCAGGTCAAGAAAAGGCAGCAGTCCATGATGTCCAAGACACTCATGTAGAACTGGATATGAATTTTATTTAGGGACCTTTTGGTGGACATCATTTAGGTGGGGATTGATGTCCAGCAACCACTTTTCAGGGGGTGCCCCATTAAAATTCATCACTGCGGATCGACCCTACTTGGAAAAACCATCGCCTTCAAGAGTTCGCTGCACTTACAGCGCTGGCAGAACGAGCGAGCCATACCCAACTCTTCCCTGAGCTTCATGCACGGTCTCCGGCAGAAATTGCCTTGGATTCGAACCCGACTCTGCCGGAGCCTCCGACCCGACCACCCGACCGGATCGGATCGATCGCGCGCGGATCGGATCCGCGGATCGGATTGTGAGCTCCGTGCAGCACTTTCCTCCAGGACTTTGGGACCTCAACGTCCTTGTGGTCATCGCCCTCCATCGGCCTCAGATTTGGCTGAGAGAGTTACTCCATGGACCCAACCCCATGGACCGTTCCCGCGAGGATAGGCGCGGACCCCATGAGCCAAGGGAAAAGCAGGAAGAAGACCTGAGCAAAGGAAAACCCAACCGGCAACGGATTTTGTTGGTGCTGAGCCCCGCACCAAAAAGAAGGAATAGTTGCCTAGCCATTGAGGAACGTTTGGTTGGATGTACCTTGCCGCAATCAAAGCCCGGTTTCAGGAATAGGACATCACTATGTTTTGAACAGAAGAGTACACTCTTGCAGCGCACTGCTTCCACAGAGGTGGTATCCAGCCGATGCCGAGGTTTGGCCTGGGCAATGCTCACGCTGGGAGACCTCCAATTCCCAGCTTCGACCTTGCACAGGCTGCGCGCTACGCGGGCGCGGGTGTCCTTGTTGGTCAAAGACTTGGCCGTGGCATATGCACTAAAGTTCCAACACATGACCATCTGGCAATGGGTCAAAACCCAAAACTATCCAAACAAACCCAAAAAGGACACTGGTGGCACGTGAGAGTCGTACCCCCAAACAAGTGCAGTTAGGAAACATAGCGACAGTTCCATCTCTATGTTCTAGGGCACACTTCCCCATTCTTTCCAGGGATCCTTCTTTCCAGCAAACCATCAGAAATCCAGGAGAAACATGGAGAAACAGCTGGCTTTTGAAAAGAACGACAGTCGAAAAGAATGGAAAAAGGAATCAACCCCCAGAAATGTGCCTTCTCCCCGCCCCGATCCCACTGGCGCTCCCGACAAAATGCCCTCGAAGACCTTCCGGGCCTTGGAGCTTGCCGTCCGTTTATCCGGTTTTGAATCATGGCTGGTGTAGAGGCCAAAGCAACTGTTCCATGTCCTAAACATGTGAGTCATGATGCTCAATGCCAGACACATTCGTGCTGCTTCTTGCACTCGGCTGAAAGCTTGAAGTCTAATCTGGTCTCCTTCCAAAACGACCCAGCTAAACCATTTATTCGCTTATATACTTTTAAGGGCACTGGAGGAGGTTGGGCTGGAACTTGGGCTGGAAAAGAGGCCGGGCAGGACTTGTTTTCTCTTTTTTGTCGGCGGCACCGTAAGCGGCGGTTCGAGTCTAGGCTGCGCATGGAGCACCGGAAGGGCGGGCGGGGTTTCATTTGGCTCCAAACTGCTGTCGAACCCTTGGGCCAGGCGCGACCGGCGCGACCGGCGCGCCAGTGGAACGTGAAACGTGATCGGCTGAAATCAGATTCTTCAGTTCCGACTAATCCTCAGAGAAGGGATCACAGTCGACAGCCGAGATACAAAGGACAGGACTGCAAGGCAAGGAGCATGGGACGCATGCCGAACTCACGACATCCATGCTCTGGCAGGCTATGGTCTCTATGGTCGCTCATAAGCGTCGCGGCAATTTCTGTGCAGATGTTTGGGTGACAAGCTCCGCAAGAATTTGGAACTGAGGGATGCAGGACATGGTTTCGTGCATGCGGAGGAACCTCTGGAGAGCTGAGAACAAACAGGCCACCACACTGAAGTCTGTGCCTGACATTTCGCACCCGTAGCATCTACCCTTGCCTGACCCTACGCATTTCGCGAATGTAATTCCACACGTACAGTATATACATATATATATATATGTAGAAACATATATGTGCATATGTACAAATGATTAAAGGTATCTGCAGCGGTTTCACCCTCACCCTCCTTTCGCGACTTTGGGGGGTGTCGTTTTTTGGGGACCCCCAATATAGCTATAAATCAAGACCAATGTTACCATTTTGGGGTAGGTGCACCACCCAGTTTAGTCTATTTTAGTGGGGATTGGGATGTTCACTGGGGGTACGGGATTTTGACCCATGGCATATATGGCTTCCCAAACAAAGAATGGGTTTTCCTTCAAAAAACGCGGAGCCACCCATTCAAGCTCCTTACAAGACAGGCGCCCGACCCTCTGCTGGAGGTCTTTGGCCGTGCCCTGGCGAATCGATCCGGCATGGGTCAACCAAGTATTCGTGAAGCACTTGCGAGTGTGGGCCAAAAAAGGGGAACCCTAAAATGCGGGTTTTCCTTCTCCTCCCTTTCACCAACCCAAAAGGGCAGCCGGGTAGCTTCAAAACACCGCCAGTAGCTTCTACAAGTCAAGCCAAGCACCTCCATGTCGTTCACCTCACGAACCAGCTCCATCACCTGAGAAACCGTTTTCAATGGCGAGCTCCCAGAGCCGTTGCTCGTTGATAGGGGTTGAATCCTCGCGCATATATATATATATATATGCCCGTCGTCCCCAGCCCCCCCTCCATGCTATGGGGGGACCCCAACCCCCACAGCAAGGCGGGGGCTTGTGGGGCGGCGTGCTCCAGCGCGCGCGCGACGTTGCGGGCGCGTTTGCGGCGCTGTGCGTGTGTTGCGCTGCAGTGCGATTTGCTCATTTCGCAGCACGTGACAAGTTGCGCTGTCGCAAGTGACAGTGCGTGATGCCACGACGCAGTTTGTGGTTTGCAGCGCCGCAACCAAGTGCTAACCAAGTGCGCTCAACGCGCCAGTGGCAAACGCACTTTGCTACCTACTATAGACCCCAACCCCCATTGCCACAGGGGGGCGGGCGGTGTTGGAACCATGGTCACACTGTGCTACCTTTCGTGGACCCCAACCCCCATCCATCCCACAGGGAGGCGGGGGGGCTTGCGGTCACACTGTGCTACCATTCTCCCCAACCCATTCCCACAGGGGGGCCGGGGGGGCGTAAGAACCATGGACCCCACCCACTCATCTCACAGAAGGGCGGGGGGGTTGTACGGTCACACTGTGCTACCTTCTTGACTGAGCATGACCATTGGGGGGGGGGGGGCCGGGGGGGCCAAGGAAGCCTGGAACATACATATATATATATATATGGTACCCCCGAAAACCCACACCAAGATAATTTCACGGTCTTTACAGTACTTTTGTGTGATTTTCACCCCCTTTTCAGGCACCCAACATTTTAGCATTTCACTGTGCCCTGTGACTGTGGTCGCCCAAAAAAAGCGCTTTAAAGCACTTTTGGATCCAGGATTCAAGATTCAAGATTCCCAGGACTCTAGATCTTGAATCTTGAATCCAGTGGGGCACCGAAAACGTTTTAAAGCGCTTTTGGATCTAAGATTCAAGATTCAAGATTCCACGCACTCTACATCTTGATTCTTGAATCCAGTATGGGGCACTGAAAACGCTTTAAAGAGCTTTCATACAGGTAGCGCATGGATTCAAGATGTAGAGTCCCTGGAATCTTGAATCTTGAATCTTAGATCCCAAAGTGGTTTAAAGCGCTTTAAAAGCGTTTTCGGTGCCCATACTGGATTCAAAATTAAAGATCTAGAGTCCTGGGAATCTTGAGTTTAAGATCCAAAAGCGCTTCAAAGCGCTTGGCAGCGTTTTTCAAGAGTACAGGGAATCTTGAATCTTAGATCCAAAAGTGATTTAAAACGCTTAAAGTGCCTTACAGTGTCTGCTTTCAATCATGCCTCTTTGGGTGTGCACCTTATTGTTCTTTTGGACTTGTGCGAGCTAAATACGGTGGATTGTTCAGCACCTGGACATTGGAGAACTACTTCTTCAGCAATGACTTAAAGATATCCACACCTACCCCATGGATGTTGACAAAACCACCGTAAGTATCAGTGCGTTGCATGCTTTGTTAGCAGGCGTTGCGCAGAACAGATTTTGCTCAGGGAAACTAATTGTTTTAGCAAACAGCTTACAGCTTGGCAATGGTCCATTGGTCAAGGCATATAAGATGCGAGCAAATGCTTTGGTATTGGCACAGGTCTGTCAGTTAACAGGGTTTGCTCATGAGTTGACATGAGAAATCGAAGATGCGTGGCGAAAGCAGAGGAGATATTGGTTGTTTTGCTTTTGGAACCCTTGCAACGGTACTCTTAAAGAGATGTGTTGCAGTCAATTAAGTGTGGATACCAATGAAAATGAAGACCGTGAACACGCAATTTAATATGGACACATTTTAACATTCAAAATATGAGAGAACATCACAACTTCTATGTGAAAGCGGATGTTTATTTGTTCGACTGACATGTTTTGAAGACTTCAAAATATGGTTTGGATCCTGTGTATTATTTATGTTCTTCGCTTTTGCAATTTACCCAACGTTGCTTCCGATGCGATGCTCAAATTCACTTGTTAAAGCAGAATTACTTTATGGCCAACGTGTGCCTGAAGTGATTGAGAAAGCAAAAGGAGGAATGACAAAGACAACCTCCAAGACAGTAGAAGCGACCAATATTTATACCGGTGGCAAAGTATTAATCAATCATTTGCGCAAGCCTGCAAATATTGTGAGATGAGCCCACTTCTGCTAGCATCTGTCTAAATTGACCCGGTTTCTCTCAAACAAGCAGCTGGTCTATATATATATATAATTATATATACCTGCTGCCCCAAAAACTGTTGAATTTGCTCGTTGTTCAGGAAAATGATCATTTTGCCTCCTTGGTGTTGAAAGTTGAACACTGGTGCTACAAAAACCGTTCGGGCTTGCGGAGCAGACCGAACCTTGTGTTGCTGACGTCGCTTGCTGGGAATTCATCAATTGTGTTGTTTTTGCGTCATCCAGTGCATGTGTACGTTTTTCTTACACCATGTCATGGGCCGTGCCTGGGATTCGGTGCTGGAATTACCGCGCGTAAAGCGATCAAGACCCGTGCGCAAACTGTTCGTCGAACCGTTCGCATGTCCTACATGTCACGTAAAACCAATCTTGTGTGTGTTGCGAAATCAGCTTGGTGTTCTAAAAGCCGTTCTGGTACCAAAAGAAGCCATCTGGTGCTCAAACTATCAAAACAAAAACATAGTTTCTCCACGTGGTGCTGCAAAAAGGAACATTTTAGGGGCCTCAGGTATATCAAAAAACTCATGGAACCGAATGATTTCATATGTGTGCATGACCTCTCGTTGGGTCAAGGAATCCAGCGCGTCGCATGGCCCGGCTCTCTCAGCTGCCCGCGCCGTCATATCCTCGAAAGGCCGAAACCGCGTCACGAAGAACTCGGCAAAGCCGAGTGAATTCGCCGAAACGCAACTTGGGCTGTTCAAAAATGGAGGCTTGGCCAATCCTCCATCCCAGGGAAGCCACCACAAAGGGCTTTTTTTTTGTGTAACCCAAGGTAAGGATTGAGGACTACCTTTGAACACCGCAGCTTAGGGACCCTCTGGACATCACTCGGGGTTTTATGTCCACCACTTTCCAGGGGTCTAAATTCATGGCCATATCGTGAGTCACTCTCAAAACACAGAGTTGCGGCGTCTGACTCTCCTGGCGTTGGACTGTCGCGGCCGGTGGA